CCCAGACCTGACGCCTCTGTCAGAGGAGTCAGGCCTGGGCAAGGGGCCGATCCTGCGATTGGAGGGTGATGGGGGTCAACGCCTGAGGGCTCCCAGTATGGGAGAGGGGGCAGGCTGTGCTGAGGGACACTCCCCCCCCACACACACACCCAGTGCATGAATTTCGTGCACCGGGCCCCTAGTAGTATAATATTAAGCCAAGATTTGTCAGTTGCAAAGAGCAATCAAACTAATCCTACTAAAGAAAGAAGTTAATTTCAAGGCTACATAAACTTCACAGATTCCAAGACAGTGAGACAGAGGGCGGGACTATCAGAAGCTCTCTGTCTTAGTGATGGTGTGGTCTCCTTCTTCTCTGATTCTTTCTACAGTCTACTCCAACTGTCATCACCTCAGTCATTTTTCTTTACCCCCTCATCTTATATTGGGCCGTTGGCCCAACATGACGTTAGACCGCCAATGACTGGATCCTCCCTCTAGGTCTCTTGATTCAAATCCTTGAGAAAAGGAATCTGATAGAGTGAGGTGACTATCTCTGGACAGGATCACCTATGTCCACTCAGCATGGCTGGAGCAAGAGAGTTTAAAACTAGAAAATTAAATTGGGTATGAATGATACATTGGTATTTTTGCTAAAAATAAATTTTTAAATTATATTTTTATTGATTTCAGAGAGGAAGGGAGAGGGGAAAAGGGATAGAAACACCAATGATGAGAGAGAATCATTGATCAGCTGCCTCCTGCATGCCCCCTACTGGGGATCGAGCCTGCAACCTGGGCATGTTCCCATGACTGGGAATCAAACAGTGACCTCCTGGTTCATAGATTGATGCTCAACCACTGAGCCACACCAACCGGGCTATGCTACAAAGAATTTATACAGACCACACATATTCACATTCAGTTACTGGGTATTCCACATTCTCTTGTTAAGGCCAGAAGAAAGTTTATTCTGGTACAGGCCTAAGTCCTAGAGACAAATAAAGCCTTAGAATAGACTGAATTCTGTGGGTGGAATAAATGAGGGCATAAAGAATACATCTGGAAGAAGTTTTAGCTTTGGATTGTCTGTCTATTCAATGACCCAAACGAAGTAGAAATGTCAGTGGGGAAAAAAAAACATAATTTTTTCCTAAAGTTATTTTTGTCCTATGACACTGAGGTTGAAATTAAGATGTAGATTCTGCTCTAATCATCCCTTCTCAGTCTTATTCAGCTTTCTGAAGCTCCAGGAATGTGTCTGACTCACAGGCCAGCCTTGTGAGTTCGAGTGACAAATGTTATACACAGTATTATACACAGTGTGCTTGGAGAAGCTTTCAGAAGGGTGTGACTACTCCAACAGGTCCCTGGCAGAAGTAAAAACAAAAAAATAATGATAGCAATGCCGGAAATCTCATCATTAAGGATTCATCTAAGCCAGTGGTTCTCAACCTTCTGGCCCTTTAAATATAGTTCCTCATGTTGTGACCCAACCATAAAATTATTTTCGTTGCTACTTCATAACTGTAATGTTGCTACTGTTATGAATCATAATGTAAATATCTGATATGCAGGATGGTCTTAGGTGATCCCTGTGAAAGGGTCGTTCGACTGCCAAAGGGGTCACGACCCACAGGTCGAGAACCGCTGACCCAGATGCGTGTCTAAATACCATTCCCCACTAAAAGGAATAGCACATCTTGGAAAATGGCTGATTCCAGGTCAAGGGCAAAAAAAGTTCAATGTGAGCCCCGAACATCTTGTCTCACATACTAAAGAAATGCTCAACTGGGTTGGGGGGTGCAGGGGAGGAGGCTATAAGGGGTCAATGGGAGGGAAAAGGGGACATATGTAATACTTCCAACAATAAAGATTTTCAAAAAAAAGAAGTGCTCAAAAAATAATTGGGTCATATCAAAGGGACATAGAGACTTCCACTGGTTAAATGTGGAATAATGATGACAGTGAATTATAACCTCCAAAAGTCCATAGTTATATTTAAAAGAAAAAAAAGGCAAGTTCCTTTTTATAAAAGAATGCAGCTAATAAATATAGATGGAATGGTAGAAGGGGGAAATGAACATTTTGCAACTCTCAACATAATAGTTAATCAAAGCAAGGATCCTCAGTGGATTTTTCAGTGATTACTATTGTTGGTGATGTTGGTTCCTGGGATCCATGCCATCCTCTCACTTCTATAGTTACAGTTACACCAGAGCTTTGAGTGTTGGAGACTGGCACCCAGGCTAGTCTGTCACTTTGGCAGAGAGCAGATACTTCGACATTTTTATAGCTCTTGAACTATAGTAGATCCAACATTTTGGACACAACATTGGGTCCAAACATTTTGAAGCAATTTGCACAGCCACTTTTCTGTACCTTCACAAGAAATGTGTGTAATTATATGGTTTTCTAATTAAGTGGGGTGGGGGGAGAAGTACACCTCATTGATTGGTTTTCATTTCTTTGTTCACTAATGAATTTGAACTTTTTTCTAATATGTTTACTGAGTCCATGGATTTCTTCTTGTGAGAATTTGACTATTTGTACAATTTGCTCATTTATGTTTTTAAGGCTTAGTGTTCTTTTCTCATTTGTTCAGTCTTCTATGGTCTATGATGTATTATGATTTATTTTTACTGACATTGAGGATTTTTAAAAGTATATTATAAAAGGCCTTTGTTATAGGAAAAGCAATAATAGAAGAGCTGATGACACTGCAGAGATGAATTCATTCTTCTTCAAGAGGTCATAAAATAAATACTGTAACTTTTTATTTTTTTATGTGCAAAGGCTGTTCTTTGTATGCACTCAAATTTGTCAGTATTTTCTTTGCTATTATATCTATTGTTTCTAAGCTTATAATTATAAAGATATCCCTTCACAATTTTCATAGCTGTTAATTATGTTTTATTCTGATTTCTAAATGTTAGTATTTTATTAGTCTAACTTTTAAATGTATCTGAAATGGATTTTGAGACTGAACAAAAATAGTTTAAAATGCAAAAAATGACAAATTGACTTTCAAAATGGACTTGCTCTTTACCTTTTATCCAGCTAAATTATGACTACAGTGGATGGAAGAAGACCATGAATCCAGGCATTGCAAAGAAGATAAATACGCATGTCAAAAAAAGGAGAGCTCAGCCAAAGAGAATAATGATAGAGAAGAAACTCATAAAATGTTCTTACTGAGAGACTGTTTTGGTTTTATTTTGCTGTTCTGATAGCTTGATTGTTGGGGGAGGGCTGCAAAAAGAAATGCAAAAAACTAGCTGATTTTAACTCGGTCTTATTGCAAAAATCCTGAACAATACAAGAACGAGCTTGAATGGCTACAGCTGGTGCAGCCTCGCCTGGACAACCTCCAGAATGAGGCCCAGAAATCAGGATTTTAGAAAGATTCCCAGGTGATTCTAATATGCAGCCAAGGTTGAGAACCACTGGATTAGCCAAACCATGACTATTACACTTTGCCGAGCAGATAATCCTTCTATTTCCTGAATAAACTCAGCAGTTAGGATTTCCTTCTTCATCTTTTTCGGTGTTCCTTTGATTAAAATCTAATGGATTTATAATATATGCACTTATGTTCTTTCATGACCAAATTGTTTACAGTTTGCACTCAGCTCCTTTCACTTTCCTGAGGCCTGTCTGCTCACCCCAGACGCTCACCTTTGGCTTCCAGGCAGTGTTTGTAAACAAGGAAAAATCATGGTCACTTTTTGCTAATTGCTTGGAAATATAAGAGACCCAGATGACAGAAATGTTCTCGGTTCCTGTTGCTTTCTCCCTGCAGAAATAATTTGGTTTATTGAATTCATACCATTCTTACCTTCAAGCTGGTGGACGGTATTTATCAAGCTGCTTTCAGACTTCACACCTGGGTAATTCTGTTGCTTGAATTTTCTCATTGGTTGTTAAATAATTGAACTAAGTTCATTTTTTTCTTTGTACCATAATGTTTTCGTTTCCAATAGCAAACAGCTTCTATCTGTTGAGGATTCAGTTGTTCAAAATATACTTTTAACTGTTTGAGGCTCATAGTTGAATTGTGTATCATAATTACAAAGGAGAGGATAGAAAGGGACCAGGAAAACGTCTAGTTTTAGCCTATCAACCCTAATGGGCCACAGTGGCTGCTAATTCTTAAACTGATATTATCTGGCCTTTGCTTTAAATGCATTTTTATTGTTGTTGTTGTTGTTGAACCACAGTGTCTAACAGATATAAATATCCCTTAAGTAAATGAATAAATGAAATCCAGAAATTTAAATACTATACTCCAGAATTAATTACAGACTATATGGCAGCCTAAAACCAACCCATTACAGTGATGAATTTGAAGAAAGTACATTAAATCATTAGACAGATGGGCCCATGCCTCATTTTAAAAATGTAATTCTCTTTTACAATTTTAAAAGCTAATACCATGAGAAGGCAATTTGGACTGTTTTCTGACTCTATTAGAAACAGCTGATTAACATTCCTGTTGGCTGCGTGTAATTCATATTAAAGGAAGGGGAAAAACTACACTTTCATATTTTAAGCTCTTTTTCTTGTATTGTGAGATCTGGTTCCTTTACCACCCAGCCTTAAAATACATTTCTTAGGTGGATTTTACCCATTACAAGCCCCTATGAAATGCTAGATTCCTAGGTTGGCTTCTTTTATTAGATTAGCTATCTTGTTTTTACCCCCCTTGGCCTTCCTGAGGGACTAGGTTCAATGTGGCCAAATTGCCAAGGCCAGGGGTCCTCAAACTATGGCTCGTGGGCCACATGCAAATACAAATATTGTATTTGTTCCCGTTTTGTTTTTTTACTTCAAAATAAGATATGTGCAGTGTGCATAGGAATTTGTTCATAGTTTTTTTTTAAACTATAGTCTGGCCCTCCAACGGTCTGAGGGACAGTGAACTGGCCCCCTGTTTAAAAAGTTTGAGGACCCCTGGTCAAGTAGATGAGGGGTGCTGGGAGGATGGGAAAAGCTGGGGCAGGAGGACACTGGGCACCTGTCTAGATGGGAGAGGAGAAGGGAAGGAAAATTATAAAGAAAACAGGAGAAGGGAAGAAGGATAAGAAATAAGGATAATTTCACTCTTAATGTTCATGCAGCCCACCAGTCAGTCAACCAACATTTATTGCGTGCCTGCTGTATGCTGGTGCTGTGCCCCTTCCATGCTGTGCAGGTGTCAAAGACACCGCTTCTTCCTGTCTTCAAGGATTGTATAACCTAGAAGAGGAGAAAAGGTGAAGACAATGATGTTAACAGAAGGTAGAATGAGATCAAGGCTGTGCATTCATTCATCCTTGAATTCCTCTCCTCCATTTTCTCTTAAGTCCACTCTAAAAAGGTTCTTACCCCCACTACTCCTTCAAAACCACTTTTAGAAAGATCACTCATGATCAAATGCTAAATGTAATGGCCAGTTCTCAGTCCTTATCTGATTTATTAGCAGTATTTGTCACAACCCACCATTCTCCTTGAAATACAGTCTTCTCTTGGCTTCCAGAACATGCACTCTTGGTTTCATCCTCTCTCTTCTGTCTCTTTTTGAATCCTTTGTTAGTTCTTCAACTTCTCTCATATTTCTTTATGCTGACATGTCCCATAACTTGATTGTCGTCCTCTTCTGCTCTCTGTCTACAGTCACCCCCTTGATGATCTCATCTAGGTTTATGACTCTAAAGAACACCTTCTTGCTGATAACTCCCAAATTTATAGCTCCAACCTAGACCTTCTGTCTGAACTTGAGATTCATATATCCAACTGGGCTCTTGATACCCAAACTTGAACATCTAATAAACATCTCATGTCCAACCTATCCAAAACTGAACTTCTGATCTCTACCGCCCACCTCCCCCCACCCCCCATTCCATCAAATCTACTTAACCTACAACTTTCTCTTTCTCAGTTTATGGCAAATCTATTCTTCTATTAACTCAGGCTTAAAACCTTGGAGTCATCTGTGGTTCCTCTCTCTCTCACATCTCATATGCAAACATTTTTGGAACTCTTATTGGCTCTACCTTTTTTAAAAAACTTAAAACTTTATCATTTCTCACCATCTTCAAAGCTACCACTGTGATCTAAGTAACCTGGTCCTGTCAGGTTTTCTTACATTCTAACTGATCTCTCTACTTCAACTTTTGCCCTCCTACCTTATACTATTATCAACCTGGCTGCCAGAGTAATTCTTGTAAAACTTAAGTCAGATAACTCAGATCATGTCCAAAACCCCACAATAGCTTCTCTTTTCAACTTATCATGAAAGCCAGAGTCTTTACAAATGGCCAAAAGTCCTCTGAGATGATGGTTTCTCTTCTCCTTCTCCTTGCTCACTTGCTCTAGACCAGGGGTGGGCAACCCCTGGCACATGTGTCAAACATGGCACGCCAGTAACTTTTGCGGGCACGTGAAACCCTCTCTTATAATCTTCCATTTACAATTTTTTTCTTAATATCGACTTTTTTATTTTTCAGATAATTCAGTGTACAGTGATGCAGCAGCAAAAGTCCCACTGATAATATCAAATGGAGTCATAAAGTTTTCTGTCGGACTATCAGTGTACATGTATACATTAAAAAATTAATGTATTTTTCATCATCATATACTGTGTTTTTGTTGCTCGAATGAATTTTATTATTTCTTCAAGGTTCTTCACATACATACACCTTAAGAGATATCAAGTAGGCATAACATGTTCTCAAAAAATTAGGGCTGGCATGCAGAAGAATTTTGGGTCAGAGATTTTGCTGGGTTTGGCACGCACTCACAAAAAGGTTGCCCACCCCTGCTCTAGACACACTGCCTCCTGCTATTTCCCCAACACACCAGGAATTCTCAGGGCCTTTGCACAGGCCATCCCTCCTAACCACTCTACCCCTAGCCCAGATGCCTGCATGACTAACCCCTTCCGCTCCTTTAAGTCTTGGCTCAAAAGCCACCATTGCAATTGGACCCCCGACCACCTTATTTAATGCTGCAGATTATGCACCTCCATTTTTTCTTTATACTTTAGTTTTTCATTTTACTTTACCTTGTCATTTTTCCATAGCAGTTATCACTTTCTAACATATATAATTTCCTTACTATCATCTGTATTGTTTGTCTCTCCCTGCTAGGAGCTGAGCTCCATGAAGGAAGGGATCTTTATTTTATGTGGTTTTTTTAAATTAAATTTATTAGAGTTACAGTGGTTAATAAGATTATATAGTTTCAAGTGTACATTTCAATAATACACGATCTGTATATTGCACTGTGTGCCCACCACAAAGTCAAATCATCTTTTGTCACCATATATTTGGCCCTCTTTACCCTTTAATACTCCCCACACCCTCCCCCCTGGTAACCACCATACTGCTGTTCATGTCTATGAGTTTCAGTTTTATATCCCACACATGGGCGAAATCAGATGATCCTTAGCTTATTCTGAATGACTTATTTCACTTAGCATAATATCCTCAAGGTCTATCCATGTTGTTGCAAATGGCAGTATTTTGTCTTCTCTTTATTCACTGATAAAACTCAAACACCTAGAACACTGTCTGGGATGTTGAAAGTGCTTAATAAAATTTTTTGAATTGAAATTGAATTCATTCAACATCCATTTGACAAATATATATTTAGTACCTACTATGTGCCAGGCACTGTGCTAGAGGCTTGATATTCAGCAATGAATAAAATAGACTTGTCCTTATGTTCATGAAACTCACAGACCATCAGGGATCACAGATTCTGGGCAAGTAATTGCAATGTGATGATTGTCACAACGGACAAGTAAAGAGCATTATGGGACATATATTAGGAAGCTCACTGATGCTAGGAGTCACAAAAAGCCTCCACAAGTTCAGACATGAATAAAATGTAGAGGGGAACCAACTAGTAGGAGGGCGTGGAGAGAGGTCTACACTGGGAAAACCCATTGGGTTGGTATTGATAAAGGAATGCCTACAAGGAATAGTTTGCTTATGGCTAGCAGCGGTTCTCAACCTGTGGGTCGCGACCCCTTTGGCGGTCGAACGACCCTTTCACAGAGGTCGCCTAAGACTATCCTGCATATCAGATATTTACATTACGATTCATAACAGTAAAAACATTACAGTTATACAGTAGCAATGAAAATAATTTTATGGTTGGGGGTCATAACATGAGGAACTGTTTTAAAGGGCCAGAAGGTTGAGAACCACTGG